TAATCACCTCTAATAAAATAATCACAGATCCAAAGGAAATAAAAAAAGCGACAAGAAACCACTTCAACAACTAGACCAAGTCTAATCCAACAAATGCAAACTTCAAACAGGAATGGTCACCCTACCTACAACCTCTCCCTAATATTTCACCTCATATCTACAATAATCTCACTCTACCGATAACATATGATGAAATAACTACTACAATCAATGCTACTCCAACACAAAAAGCAACTAGGCTATTAGGCATATCCAATGAAATGTTAAAACACTTACCTTATACTGCAATCTCATTATTACTTCTAATCTTCAATGCATGTCTAGAATTGGAACAAATACCAAAAAGCTAGGGAATGGCAAATATATAGGCTATCCCAAAAAAACAATACTACAATAATGATTTAAATTATACATGTTTTATTGCACTAATTGAACACACACAAAAAATTTTTACAAAAATCTAGGTGAGTCTTGACCACTCTAGTAGGTTTAGATCGCAGATAATTAGCTTTAGCTTTTAGTCTGAGCTCCTATTCTTGCATGTAATTTATAAATACTTGTTATTATACAAATTTAGTTTTTATATAGTTTCTATATAATTACTTATATAAATTATCTAATAAAGATATGAGCAAGGCCTCACCTTAACACCAAAAAAAAAAAAAAAAAATTAATTGTCCAGAGCATAGTGGAGGACACTTTGTTTTTATATCTATATTTGATTTATACTATTACATGATTTTGTCTATTCACTTCTGCATCTCTAATTGGTTATTAATCACGAGCTTATTGATAATTTAATCAATTGATATTTAGCTTCAGATACATAATATTATATATATATATATATATATTTTTTTTTTTTTTAAAAAGAGGTTATTCCTCTATTTCTTTATTTCAAAATATATAATTTGGATACAACTAGTACTAATTTATACATTTAACAAAATGGAGTAGAAGTTAGGGCTAGGATTTACTCTCAACCTATTCTTAGCTAGAATAGTTAAAAAACCTCTAGACTATGTAATTTAAAAAAGAAGATACTAAGTTATAGTAAATAAAAGCGTTGAGTCATAAGTAAAATTTTCTATCTACTGAACAAAGAGAAGTATTATTTTCTAAAGATGTAATGATAACTAGTGGATTTGGAGTATTATTTTGTATCCATATTTAGCTTGATTTCCAGATTTCTTCATATGTTTTTGATGATTGTGTGATAGATTTGTGGAATTAAGGTATTGCTTTGAGAGAGTGATCCTAATTTTTGTACTATTTTCAAGTTGATAAAGCTAAGTGGGATTTGTTTTTAGATATGAGTTGGCACAAACTCTTGGATAAAGTCTCTGAGCAGTAGTATATTCATACTATTTGTTTGGCATATATTGGTTATTACTTTGGATATAATATCTTGGATATTTGTCTGATTATATTGGCAAGTAAGCATGTGTAAGGTGTCTTCCAGTATTTTTGTGTATTTTGTACAGAAAGGTTAGGATGTGTAGTCGGGTCTCTTTAATAAAGGTGTAGATGAGTTGGTAATTCAGAAGTTAGTAATTTTATTTTGAATATTTTTAAGGTTGATTTAGTTGGGCAAGTATTGCGGCTAAGTAGATTGTTTTGGTAGTTGAGGTAGTCAAATATGAGTTTCTAATAAATATTTAGAAGTTGTTGTATTATTGATTTAATCTGATTTTGTTCATTTTATTTGATAATTGCTTTGGCTCTTTGGATAATTTTAGGTAGTTGGTGGATTGGGTATATCACAGAAGTTCTATTAATACATAGAATAAAGTTTGAACTTATTACTGTTTGAGATATAAAATTAGTATATAATTGAAGATTAGGTGTTAGTATTTTGATTTTGTTATCTGTTAGATTGATATTTATATTGTGGTTTTTTGCCAAAATGATTGCTCTTATCATAGATATAATATTGTTAAAAGGTATTTTTTGAAGGTGTTGTTAGTGATATAAAGGAAGGCTTAATATAGATTGTATTTTGGATTGGAGCTAGCTTTTGTCAGTAATAATAGTTATTTTTGTTTGAGGGAGGAGAATAGTATAGATTGCTTTTAATGCTATAAAAGTTGTATAGATATGAGAGAGAAAGAGTATATTTGTTATATACCAGACTTGTTAGTTGTATTGGAGCTATATTTGTACAAAAGGGGTTTTGATTTTGTCTGTATTTTTTATTTTTTTGATTTAACAGTAATGTATAGTTGTAAATGTTTTGGGAAAGTAGATTCAGTATATAGTTTCCATATTTGCGTTTGTATGTTTTTTATAGTTGTAGAAAATGATAAGTTGTACGATAATTAAAAGTTGGCAAAGCAGGATGAGTGTTGTTTGGGCAGTAGTATAAGAGATCAGAATAAGTAGCTCAGTTGTTCATAGATTTGTTTTCTGCAATCAACTTGAATTTTGTAAATAGATTGTATTGCTATTTTAAAATAGCAGTATTTAGTTTTAAGTGAGTAATCCTTCTCTTAACAGCCAAGGCATGGAATAAGTTGCTTTGGGTTGAGTGGATGAGAAGTATAGTGTTTGATTTTTGCTAGATTGTTCGTTGAACTTGTAATTTTGCCAAACTTTTTTTTACAGATAATAATCCATTTACTAGTAGATGAGTTAATTTAAAGAGATTTGAAAAGATCAATGCAATTGATGGATTTGAGAACTGAACTATTATATTTGTAATGTTCTTGAACCAACAAGGAGTTTTTCCTTTAGGAATTTTTTGAGTATTGTAATAAAGAAGTGCCAGTCTAGCATATAGATATTTGTGTAATCTAGGAATTGCTCAATACAGGTAATGTCATATGTATTTAGCTTGCTTTTTATAGCTGCAGAATATTTGATAGAAGATAGGATTGAGTTGATCGAGATGTCTTTGAATTGTTTGGGATTGGCAATGAGTTAGTTTGATAAAACAATTGAATATTGAGCTTGTAAAGTGTTATTATTGATTGGGTAGTATTAGTTTTGTATTTCTCTGCAGGGAAAATCAGTTGTTCTGAGAGAATGAATAGATTGAAATTGGCAGTATTCTGGAGTTGTTATAGTCGAATCTTGATACTTGAATTGTTGAAGTCTGGTGCATGAATACTACAATCCAAAGTTCTGATTTGTTTTTGTTGAATGTTGTAAAGTGTGTTTCATGTATAAATTAGAGAATGGTGTAGAGTGAAGTTGGGTGTTGATCAGGATAATCGTACTTTCTGTTTGACTATGTTTGTGTAGAATTTTGTGATTTTGGAACATGCAGATTTTGTTAAGTATGTGCTTTGCATTTGGTATGCTATATGTGTTAGAATTACATTGTAAATAATATAGATCACTTATTTGTCAGTAATTTTTGCATATTGGATTTTTTTTAAATTTGAGATAATTTCATTAGTAATGAGACTTTTTGCTGCTTTTAAGAAGGAATCTCATATAAGCCAAACGTCTAGATAGTGAAAAATATCTTTGGGCTTAATGTTTATAATTTGTTGTCCTTGGAAGGTAATAAAGGCTTGTGGGTCTGGGTTGTTAGAAATTAGAGTTGATTTGTATAAATTGACCTTGATACTTGTGAATGAGAGGAAGAAGTCATCTATTTTTAATATGTCTTGTAATTTATTTTTGTTTTTAGCAATCCAGATTGTATCGTCCATGTATGCTACTATGGAGGCATGTGTTGCTATTGTGTTATCAGAAGTATTTGTATCTAGCAAATAACCTTGGAATGTCATATTGATTTGGCTAATTAGGAGGCCATAGTAGATTCTTCAAAGTATTGGAGAGAATGTTTCTCCTTAGTTAATCTCATCCTATACCTCGTAGGGTTCTGTTCTTCTTGTGTCTATTATTACAGTATTTTTCTTGCTATTAAAAAGATAGTTTAGTAGGTTGATAAATTTTGGTAGAATATAAATATGTTGCAAAGTTTTGATAAGAAGTGGTATGTGAACAGTATCATAAGCTTTTAATATATCTTGTGCTAGAAACTAGTATAAAGAGATCTTTTTAAATACACCCTCTTGAGACTGGGCTTGGAAGTGCATTTATAAAGGATATGCATTTGAAAAATTATATAGAGATCTCTTTAAACACACCTCTCTTAAAAAAAAACTTAAATGTGTATTTAAAGAATTGATCTAATTTATATAAGTTTATTGTATAATGCTGCTATATAATCAAAGCGATATTTTTTTATTTATATTAGACAATACCAATATATAACAATATAAATATATAATAGAGATATCGGTATATACAACATACGTATGTATATTCGTATATACATACATGTGTACTAGTGATGCTAACTAAACCATGTAATGCTAAATTATCACAAGAAAGAACTACAGTCAGACCTCACTAAATGCATGTTGTTGGAACCAGCTCTATAGCATGCATTTAGAAAGGGTTGCAATTAGAAAACACTAATAAAATTATAATATTACTATTATCATGTGATAAGTATGGCTTTAGTAATCTAGAAATGATGAGTTTGATTGGCTAATAATCACATAGTTGCATTTATGATAGAGTTTTTATAAGTGGGCCAGACAATTAGCGTGCAATTGTAGAATAACGAACGTGCATTTATCTATAAGTCCCATTATGGGGCTAGTCTTCTATCATGTATTTAAAGAGATGTTGCATTTAAGGGGGGTTGCATTTAGGAAGATCTGACTGTATATAGTAATTTTTAAGTCATGTAAAATAAGTATAAGCTATAGTGTGTGATAATTTAGCATTATGAAGTTTAGTCAATATCACTAATATAATACAAAACTAAAACATTAAATTATTCAGAGTATTTGCTGATTATGATACATCAATATTAATATTAAAATATTTGTCTATTTTAAATTGTTTCATCGAATCATTTTTTTTAGTATTGATAAATTTTTCAATTATATTAACTAACTTTATACATTCACTTGCACCTTCTTGCTAAAGCAAAAAGGTACGTATATTATCTAGGCTTTTAAAGGCTTCACTTAGATTTACGATTTCTTTTTTAACACTATCATCTGCCCTTCTGGATCTTCATCTTCTATTTTATCAGGTCTCTCTCTAAATATTTCTATGAGATTTGAAATAATTTGATTATTATCAGGAACTTTGTAGACAACATTTTCATCAAGAATACCTAGATACTCTTTTATTTGCATTGGGCCAGAAAAATTGAGATCTTTAATATCTTTAGAAAGTTCTTTAAGCAATGAATCTTCAAACAATTTCTCTTCATCCTTATCAATATCTACATTATCTCAAAAAGGAAGGAGGTTAGTATGACACCAGCAGTTTTTGATTGTTTTTTCTGTAACTTTGTTCTAGCCTTGAATAATATATTTAATGCCTTGTAAAATATTCATCTTCAGATCTTGTACACTTTTGCTGCTTTCAATTTCATTAAGCATTCATCGGATATAGTGACGATGATAATTTTTTTTGAAAAACATAATGATTCCAGCATCTATTAGCTAAATCTTTGAGGTTGTGTTTTTAGGCAAGAAAAATATTTCCACATTTTGAAGAACTAAACCATCAGTTTTGTAACTTGAGCAATTATTAGAAAACAATAAAACTAATTTGCCTTTATGTTTTTTTAAAATTTGTTAATCAAAGTCTCAAAGCTATTCTTGAAAAAGACTGGTTAGCATTCAGGTCTTAGTATTACTCTAGTAGGTCATTGGCATATTAAAAATTTTAACATTCTTGAAGCATTGTGATCATGTATATTTTTTAATAACCAGAAACTTCAGCTTGTATGAATCATCATAATTTGTATACAAAGCAATAGTAATATATTTCTTATTTTTTTTATATTCAGAAAAATGCTACATAGCTAATAAGTAATCTGGTTTTAACTGATAAAATAGAGCAGTTTCATCTATATTGTATATTTGTTTAGGAGAATAATTAGCAGATTTGTTTTGCAATGATAAAAGGGACTAGATAATAGCTATTGTTGGGGCGAAAATGGTGAGTCTGTTGCTAGAAGACCAGAATTCTCATGCTATGTCAATTTCAAGGCTTGAATAGAGGCGTAAATATGATTTGGCGAGTACCAAAGTTTTTGATGTTTTATCTATGGGTTATGGTTTATATTTATTAAACGACTTTACTAACACTGGATCTTTTGCTTCTACTATTATTTCAGATGCATGGAAAGATAAATACTTATTAAATTTTCTCTTCTCTTTTATACATTTCGTTTTTCTATAACTAATTTTATTCTATTCCTTTTTCTCTTAGATCTTTTCTCACCTCTTTCATTAATTCAACCATACGATTTGGAGTTTCACTGAATTTGGGTAAATTATTTCTCTACTTTTCTATTTTTACCCATTCTATT